TCTCTGATTTTTTTAAATTTCAAAGTAAACGCGTCTTACGTACAGATGAATTAATTGTAGACTACATTTTTGATAAAGATGCTATTATCGAAAAGRCACCATTCAAAATGGAACAATCCGATCGCGTATCTCTTATTTTGGAAGGAATAAATGATAATATTTGGACTATTCCGCTTGTAACAGCTAGATGCCTAACTGTTCAAGAACTCATTGACCACGCTTTACCACTTGATACTATTCGTAAAGTAAATACAACTACTAATAGTAACAATCAGAATACATTTAATAATACTAAAGTTCCAAATGAAACAACTAAACCAATTCATCGTTATAACCCTACTACAGATAATAAGGATGAGCAACTGTGTTTTAAATGCAAAACTTTTGGTCATATAAGCTATGACTGCCCTTTTCCTGATAGTGTTTCTAAGTATAGAGATTCAAATAAAGTCAATACCAAAAATCAAAAGTCAACTGATATTAAACATCAGTCTGAGAAAAAAATACAAGATTTAACAAACAGTAAAAGTATTAATTGTATTTCAACAGATTTAGTCAATATTTCTCAAATACCAGTTACCATTAATGGATCAATTACGATAKACGCCTTGCCGGATAACGGGTCATGTGTTACCTTATTAAGAAAATGTTTTGTGCCCAAAGATGCTGTAATTCATGAATGGCAAGACGGACCATACGCTACACCTGAGGGAGATTTTACTCCATCTGGCTGGATCACGTTAAGAATACAGGTTGGAAAAATCGACTACACTATGCCTRAAGTAGGTTTATGAGAATCACTTCCAATTGCTATGATATTAGGACGTGATTGGCAAGCTGCAGTACATGCCACTATCATAATCGAACCGAATGGAGCAATTTGCATTAACACTCCATCTACAACTCAAGAATTTGGTTGTATAAAATCTAATAAGTCGTTTATTGGTTGTGTAATTCAGTCCAGATTTGACAGTAAACCTCTCATTTCAAAAACACCAACTCTGATTAGTAGCAAATCTGAATGTGATACTGTTACTGAATATTTTTTGTCAAGTGAAGAAAAACAAGTATTAGAAAATATGTTAATTGAGTATAATGATATTTTTTCCACATCAGAAAATGAAATTGGCGAATTTCCTAATTTTCATATGGAAATCAATTTAACTAGAGATATTCCAATTAAGTGTAAACCATATAAAGCATCAGAAATTGACAAGCAATCTATGCGTGAACAGGTAGAAAAATGGATTATAAGTGGTGTGTGTAGAAATTCTACATCTCCATATGGTGCTCCAGCATTTGTCATCGAACAACCACATCATGAGTCTACTCCAAGAAGATTTGTTGTTGACTATTCTCGCACAATAAACCCATTCACAATCAAAGATCCATTTCCAATTGATAAAATGGACGATATGGTTCACAAAATAGCAGGAAAGAAATACAAAACACTTGTTGATGTTAAACATGCCTTCAATAACTTTAAGATTAAAGAAGATGATATCTTCAAAACTGCTGCTGTTACGCCTGATCATCATATAGAATTTTGTCGTGTTATTTTTGGTTTAACTAACGCACCAGCTATTTTAGCTCGAGCTATATCTATCGCATACAGTAATTTAATCGATAACGGTTTAGCTAAATATTATGATGATCTGCGCACGATACTTTTGATAAACATATTCAATTTATTCATTCTCTTTTTAAAGCAACACGTAAATACAATCTTAAGTTTACTAGAAAAAAATGTGAATTTGCAGTATCAGAATTGAAAACTCTTGACAGAATTTTAGACTCTAGAGGTGATAGACCTGACCCAGATCGTACACAAGCTGTAAGTCGATACCAAACACTCAAGTCTCTGAATGAACTTCGCAGTTTTCTTGGATTTGCAAATACTTTAAGAAGATACATAAAGAATTTTGCACAAATTGCCAAACCTCTTACAGACAAATTGAAAACTAAACACATCAGAACCAACGATAAAAACAAAAATACTGCAATATCTTTAAATGAAAAGGAACTTCAAGCCTTCGTCAAATTGAAGACTGTACTGATAACTGCTCCGATTTTAGCACATTTTGTGCCTGACGCTCCTACATCGGTCGAAACAGACGCTTCATACGAAGGATTAGGCGCTTGCTTAACTCAAATACAAGATGGTGAATTACGAGTTATCGAATATGCAAGCCGATCTTTAAAAGATGCAGAAAAAAGATACCATAGTAACGAATTGGAAGTTACAGCAGTTCATTGGTCAATTACTGAAAAATTTTGACTCTATCTAATTGGTAAACAATTCAAATTGATAACTGACAACTATTCTACCGCTTACATTATAAATAAAGCTAAATTAAACAGGAGTTTGCATGATACGTAGTAGATCTAGCTGCATTTGATATGGAACCAGTATTTCGAGCTGGACGACTTAACAAAATTGCAGATCATCTATCAAGATATCCAATAGAAGATAACCAAGAAGAAAACACAATCAAAGTTTGTTTAGCAGTTTTTACACCACCAAACAGCCGTATTTTAATAGCACAAAATACAGATCCATTCTGCAAACAAGTAGCCAAGGAGCTATCCAGTAACAAACAGGACAATCAATGTAAACAATATAAAGAATTGTACAGATATGAAAATGAAATTCTTGTTTTCATTCAAAAAGAACATGGCCGTGAACAAGCGAAAATTGTGATTCCATTTTCAGTCAGGCAATCCGTATTCAAACTTTGTCATGATGACTCGGGACATTTTGATGTTGTTAAAACGTTAGCCAAAATACGTTCAAGATATTGGTGGAGCACAATGCGTCAAGACACTAGGTTGTACATTAAGGGTTGTGAGACATTCTATTATCATCAGTCAGTGAGGAAATTCACAAAGTACTTTTTAGTTTAT